AATCAGTTTCTGGTAAGGGTCCCCTAGATAAGCCATCGGCGTCCAGATGCTTCTTTCCTGATTTATGTATTATATCGAAGTCATATTCTTGAATTTTCAATGCCCATCTTGCCAATCGACCTGTTGGATCCTTCAAGGTTTTGAGCCAGCATAAGACGTGATGGTCAGTTACTATTTTAAAGTGTCTTCCATAAAGGTAGGGTCGTAATTTTGACATTGACCAGACAACGGCCAGACATTCTTTTTCAGTGGTTGAATAATTTTGCTCCGCTTTACTTAGGGTACGACTCAAATATGAGATCACCTTCTCTTCACCACCGATGTCTTGGACAAGTGTTGCACCTATGCCGATGTTGGACGCATCAGTATGAACATAAGTAGGTGCATTTGGATTGAAGTGACCTAAAATTGGTGGACTTAATAGTGCTGTTTTTAGGGTTTGAAACGCTTCCTCTTGTCTTTCTGTCCAGGTAAATGATACACTTTTTTTTTATAAGGTTGGTCAAAGGGTCAGCAATTTTTGAGAAGTCTTTGATAAATTTTCTATAATATGAACACATTCCCAAAAAGGATTGTACTTCTTTGACCTTTTTGGGCCGAGGAAAATTTCTGACAGCTTTGATGTTATGTTCCGCGGTTTTTATACCATGTTTGCTCGTTATATAGCCGAGAATCTCCAATTCTTCAAAAGCAAATCGGCATTTTTTGTCGTTTAACCTTAAATTAGACTCACGAAAACATCTAAAAACAGCTTCAAGTCTTTTGAGGTGCGTTGGAAAATCCGGGCTATATATGATAACATCATCCAGATAACACAAAAAAATTTGCCATCTCAGATTTCCAAGCATATTCTCCATATTTCTCTCAAAGGTAGCAGGCGCGTTACAAAGTCCAAAATGCATCACGTTGAATTCATATAATCCATGCGCTGTAGTGAAAGCTGTTTTCTCTTTGTCTCTTTCTTCGACTTCAACTTGCCAATATCCAGATCTGAGGTCTATTGCTGAGAAGTGTGTAGATCCTTGGAGAGTATCCATAACTTCGTCTATTCTAGGGATCGGATAGACATCTTTTACTGTCACATTATTCAGTTTTCTGTAGTCCACACAAAATCTGTATTTACCATCTCGCTTCTTGACCAATATTACTGGAAAAGACCAGGGGCTAGAAGATGGCCTAATTTTGCCTTCTGTAAGCATCTCGTCAATTTGCTCTTTTATAATATCTCGTTCTTTAGCACTTACCCGGTAAGGCTTGTGTTTAATTGGCTTCGCGTCTTCTGCGTCTATCCGATGTTTTGCCAAATTGGTTCTCCCTAATCTCGACGAAAAAAGATTTCCATACCTTTCTAAAACTTGTTTTAACTCCTTCTGTTCCTTTGGTGAAAGATTTTCGTTTATTTGGAATCTAGGTTCTTCGTTCTCTTCTACCTCTCTTTCTCGACTCACATTTATTTTCGCTGGACTACTTCAAAAAGCCAATGTTTGGTTTTTCATTATTTTTAACGGTCGAGGATACGGATTAGTTATCCAGATGTGTGTTTCCCTATTTATAACATTGATCAAGATTCTTGCTAGACGAAGTCCATTTGTTTGAAACATTTTGCTGCTCTCCTCGATAATATATTCTCCATCCTCTGTTTCTACCAATGCCTTGATCAATTTCATGGAACATTCCGGTACAATAGAATCCTTGGCACTCTTTATTTTCAACATTTCAAAATTGATTTCGTAATGATTATTCGTCAAATCGTATTTTATAGTTTCTTGCTTACAATCTATTTTTGCGTTCATTTTCTTAAGGAAATCTCTCCCAAGAATTAATGTCCGTAAATGCGTTTTCAATATCACAAAGTTGTGTGATAATGTTTCATCATCAATTTTTATATTTAAAAATATACTTCCTACCATGTCCAATTTTTTTCCATCGGGTCCTGCACAAATTTTTGCGAGTTTACTTATACCATGGCCTGTATCGAGGTCCGTTCTGAGGTCGACCACTGAGAGGTCAGCACCTGTATCAACCAAAGCTTCAAAAGTCCCTATCTTGTCCACATTAATTTTTAATTTGTATTTAGGGTCCAACTTCTTGATTCCGTTTATGGTCGACTTGCTTTGATTGACAGATTCAGGCGCGACGCTTAGTTTAAATCTTCCAACACGGAATATCTATTCCGGGTAGGAATATTTGTCTGTGTGCTATTACATACATCAGCATAAAGCCGAGGTCCTGATTTCTCTGATATTTCATTCATTTGGCATTTCTCTTCGACCTTCTCTTGGGTATCTGCTGGATCCTCTTCTAGGATTCTTATAAACTTGACCCTACAATAACGGGCCACGTGCCCTGGCTTGTTACATTTAAAGCAGATTGGTCTTCCATCTTCCGTCCTATTTTTGCTCACTTCTTGGCTTTTATTGTAGGTGTTTCTCTGAAGGTTTGGTTTCGGCACAAAGTTAGGATTATAAGGACGTCTAGGGGTAGAGGGCTGGGGAAAGTTGTTTCGATACTGTCTGGGAGTAGGAGGGGAGTCGTTCTTGTAATTATTGGAAACAGGGGCTTGGGGCCTGGAAGTGGTCTGGTAGTTTCGTGCGGCAGTCGGCGGCACGTACCTCGATTGTTGTTGGGGTCTAGAATAGCGTGGACCGTTATATAGGTTTCTGGATTTCTCCACACGTTCCCGATACTTCTTTTCAAAATAATCCATTTTCTTGCACACGACAAGAAGGTCATCGGTCGTTTTAGGAGGGTTCAGGTAGAGCGCGAATGAGTACTCTTTTTTCAGTCCTCCAATAACATGTTCAATTTTTGTTTCTTCTTCCATTGCGGTGTCAACCTTGTTGCACAACACTAGAATGTCTTCCGCGAACTTGATTGCTGGTTCATTCTAGTGTTGCATTCTGTTGAGCTTCATTCTAAGTTCTTCTTTATTCGCGTCCAAAGAAAAATCCTGAATGAGGCGGATTTTAATATTTTCCCAGCTCGTGAAACTAGCTTTGTGTAAATTCAACCAGGTTTTAGCGCTTCCCGTCATGTTCATGGCGGCATAACGAGAGATAATATAGTCTGCCCAATGGTACAGGAAGCCAATTTCTTCAAGAGATTCAATCCATGGGCGAGGGTCTTCCGTTCCATCATACTTGGGGATGTCGATGTTGGGATTCAAGACAACTGGGTCGGAACTAGCATCTCTACCAATTGTTGCACCATGTTGCGGCTTGGCAGACTCTTCAGCCATGATTCTCTCCTGTGCTGGGTCTTGCATCTTACCAGAGCGTGTTTCAACCATCCTACAAATTTATATAAGGGAATAATGAGATAAGTCTACTTTGAGTAGCCTCCAGAATCCGTTTATTTATTTTCTCACATCAAAGAGAGCAGTGAAGTCACACCTGTACCTAAATACAAATGATGATAATCTAAAAATAATCTGTTTTAAATAAATATCATAGAATATTTTATATAAAAATAAATAAATATATAATTTAAATTTCAAATATATTAAAAATAATATAAGAAATACGCCATTAATCATGATGTAACAATATCAATAGTAGTGTATTTGTGGATCTGTATTATTTACATATACAAGCATTGTTATATTTGACAAATCAGACGGCGTGAGCAATATTTTGAATATTTATTTTTTGAAATTTATATTTTCCCAATAGAATCTGAAATATTTGTGTTCGCCAAAAAATTCGAAATATTTTTCAATTGAAACTAATTCCTAAAATTATTTCGTTTTATAGAGGGAGGATGGAAGAAATATGGTGATTCATTTTCTTTTGTCGAGATGTTCAGCTAGATGTGAAAAATCAAGATCCAAGTTAGGTATTGCTGCTGATTAGATAATAATACCTGCTCTGTTCGTCGTTTCCATGTAGATATCATCGTGAAACGAGATTTATCATTGATATTCAAACAAAAAGCCTTGATAAATTCTAGGAAGGTTGTATACACCGATTGGTAGCAAGCTGTATTTTCCTGCCCAAACTGGCCATACAAGAGCAGTCCTCTTTAGGCATGGTTCAATATTCTCTACAGTGCATCATCTTCAAGACAAAGGCATCACCAGACTACCTCTTGAAATACTTGGGAGCTACAAGACGGAGCTTATAAGACAACATTAGCAAATTGTAGGATCAATCAATGAATTCGGTGTCTCTCTATGACTATTTATATATATAAATTAGGATACTAAATGATATATAAAAATAAAAAATTGCATATCCTGACCAGGAGCACATATGCTTTTCAGAAGGCAGAGCCCATCTGGTGGAACAGAAATCAACTATTCCTTGATTTAACCTGTTCCCTGATATTTGGCCAACTCAATTCCTTGATAAATCAAGAAAAGCCATCCACGAACGCGTTTCGCGCTGTTGGCGCTCGTCAGCGTGGAGTAGGCAAATAAATGATATATATGCAAAAATGATCGACATTGGAAAATTTTCTTCAGCGAAGGAGGCTCTTACAAATTGAAAGAGTCTTCTTCATGATTGGACATTTCTGCCTTGTGGCTGGAGAAGGCGCGGCACCTAAGCGATGATCTGTAGATGGAGATGGTGATGTCCATATGAGGGTGTTGAAATGAGAATTCTCTTAGATTTCTAAATATAACAATATAATAATTATTTTTATTGACCAGTGACCTGTTACTCTGTTATGTATTACATTATATATATAAATAGATGTCTTTGTTAGTAAGCAGTGTGTGCTATTTTACCTTTTAGTTTGAGGTTGGTTACCGTTCAAGAAATATCCTCTAGTGATCAGTTCCTTCTCTTAGCATCCTCTTTTTTTCAATAGACTGGTGAAACTTTGCAATGGGAAAATTGAAAATAGTAAATCAATGATCTAAAATCTTGTATCCTCCACAGGTATCTTCTTCACCCTCATTTATAATTCACAGATATATCCACTATTGTAGAGAGCAACTAATATAAGCTTATTATAAGATTGTTCCAAAAGTTCGTGTTTTTCTTAAAATGTTGTGTGGCGCCGTGGCTTAGTTTTTTAAAAGGGCCTGTCTAGTAAACCCTAGGAAATCCTGAATTCGAATCTCGGTGGTGCCCTTTTTTCATCTCAGGCCCCTCCGACAATGCAATGTACATAGTGCTTTATATATATTCCGCTTTATGCGTCCATCGGGGCTTAAAAAATCATCCATTCTGGTTAGCAGCCCCGTAAATAAATATATTTTCATTAAAACGTTTTTTCTTTCTTATTACTTGTCGAATAATATTATTACGGCGAATACATAATAATACTTAATACAATTACTTTATTATGATGCATTATAGATAGAAAAATGCAATATAACAGAGGTATAGTAGATTAAATTGCCGAAACCGCTGGGAGGGTTCACCGCTGATGAGTCAGGCCCTCCCATTAATTTTTCCATTGCAGTAAGGGCAGCATAAATTGTTTAATTTTAAAAAGAATCATACGCGTCTATGATAGTTTCGTATTTTCACAATTACTTTATACATAATACAAAGATATTATACATAACAGCGAATAATATTGGTATTTGAATGTTTTGCAAGTGTTTACGAACTTTTGAGACAATCTTATACATTAAATAAAAGTAGAAAATATTTTTGGAGAAGAGGAAAATACATCCCTTCCCCAATATTAATCAAAACTGTGGAATCTAAGTCAATAAACACAAGCCGAACGGAAAATTCTTTACGCTTTATAAAAATAAATAAACTAAAATAAAATAATAATAATTTTATCAAAAAGCCTTCAAAGCACACACAAATATTGTATTTTATAAAAATAGATATTAACAAATTTAAATATAAAAGTAATCTATATAGAAAATTGCTTTCAAAAGCCTCTAACAGATGGCGCTAGTTGTCTTCAAAATCTATGCATTCATAGTTTCCTTGAATAACTTCAACTAAAATAGTTTAAAGTGCTAGATTTATAAGACCATTAATACAATACGCTATAATTTCTAACGCCTTGCCAAGTCCTTTATTTTTATTTCTCCTAACAAAGACAAAATAATTTTATTTATTTATTTATTTATTTCAATACACAAACGCGATATCCCGGCTAGGGATAATTGTGTCGATTTACATTTTTTAAAAACAGAAACAGTTATAAACATATTATTAAAAAAGTAATCTGGAGAGACAGTCTGCGTCATGGTGCTTACGCCCGCTTTTATAAGCTAACGTAACGTCGTATGCTTGGAGTTTAATGGCCCAGCTCGCCAGTCTTCCTGTTGGGTCTTTCAAATTTGATAACCAGCAAAGGGCGTGGTGATCCGTAATGATGACGGACTCGCGACCAAAGAAGTAGAGGCGGAATTTGTTTATTGCCCATATCACGGCCAAACATTCTCTTTCTGTAGTGGAGTAATTCTTTTCTGCCTTTGTTAAGGTTTTTGAGGCGTAACCCACTGGTCGCTTTTTCCCGTCATGGACCTGACCGAGGACTGCTCCGATACCATAACCGCTGGCGTCATTATGAAGCTGAGTTGGTAGGTGTTCTTCAAAATGAGCTAAGACAGGTTCAGACATTAGGGCCCTTTTCAGTGATTCAAAAGCTTCTTGTTCTTCTAAGTTCCAAGAGATTTATTGCCTCTTTTGAGAATTTCATGGAGAGGAGCAGCTTTATCGGCGAAGTGTTCAATAAATCGGCGAAGTACGAACAAATGCCGATGAAACTCCTCGCCTCAGTGATAGATCGTGGGGTCGGAAACTTGGCGATAGCTTCTATCTTTTCAGGGTCGGGATAGATGCCGTTGCCATCGACGAGATGTCCAAACACTCTTATTCGTTTGGTTTCAAAAATACACTTTTTTTTAATTGAGGCTAAAATCTGCATTGCTAAGGCATTGTAAGATGATTTTGAGTCGGTGCAAGTGTTCTTCAAACGTTTTGGAGAAAACTACAATGTCGTCTAGATAGCATAGGCACTGCGTCCACTTCAATCCCCTTAAGATTTTGTCCATCAAACGCTCAAATGTTGCAGGGGCGTTGCATAGGCCGAAGGACATCACGAGAAATTCTTATAAACCATCTGGGGTTATGAAGGCGGTTTTCTCTCTATCTGCCTCGTCTACCTCTATCTGCCAATATCCAGAGCGTAGATCCATTGACAGTAAAATTGGACACCTTTTAATTAATTATTCAGTGAAAATATAAAATAAACACTTTTTCTCTAGATGATATATATTTACATATAATCTTAAATAAAATTCAAAATCTATTAGTACATGAAATTATTATTCGAAATTTTTCTTTCAAATCCTCAAATTAACAAAGAACGTCATTATTGTTACTCGAATTGAAAGTTACTCTTGAATTTGATATCAAAGTAAAATAAAATTGTTAATTCGAATAAGTTTTCATCTTTTTTTTTCAAATTTTGAAAAATGTATATCAAAGAAAAAAAAATGAATATTTAGAAAAAACAATTATGTTAGTAAAATTAAAAAAGACTATCCTGACCAGGAGCACATGTGCTTTTCAGAAGGCAGAGGGCCATTATGTTAGTATAGAAAATTGAATTTTGAAATATATAAACACAATTCTTTAGAGAAATAATTGATGTTAATATTCGGGAAAAAATGAATTTGAAGATAAATCTTCTAGAATTTTACATAAAATCAAATCATTTTTTTTAAATGCATTATTTTTTGTGAAATTATTGAGAGTCACGCACCTTTGAATAAAAAATATCCAAAATATTATTATTTTTACAATTGTTTATTGATTTTGTTTCTTCGGTTTGTCAACAAAAGTTTAAACCTTCTCTCTCATGACACCATTTCACTTTTATCTTCAGTAAAATTCTTATCTCGGCTGAGGAGAAATATTTACTAACAAATATCTATTTAATCTTGAGTTTATATTTTCTCTAATAATATTTTCTAAGGTAAAAATATTCTTTAACAAATAATAGATATATAATAATAATTCATTGTATATTACTTTTCAAAATGAGAATAAAAAATATTTTACAAAATATTTTTAATCAATCTTTTTGAAAATAGAGCAATCTATATTCAAATCATTAGATAATAAAAAAGGCATATATTGGATTTAATAAAATATTTTTTTCAATATTTTGGTTGGCTGAACCCCAAGCATTTATCAAGGCATTACATTTCTGTATAAACCTTTTATAAAATTTGTTTATATAAAAATGTAATGCCTTGATAAAGGTTTGGCGTTCAGCCAACTTAAATATTAGCAAATAAATTTTTTATTAAATCCAATATATGCTTTATTATTATCAAAATTAATCAATCTAAAAATAATTTTGAATTTTAACAAATGGATAACTGTGTTTATTAGAGGCAGACGAAGACAATGCCTGAAATCCATCCTGAAAACAGAAGAACATTCTCCATATACCTTCCTTCTTATCTTTCTTTTGTAATTAACACCATGAGCTTTTTTACTATTAAACAATCCGTATGTAGAGCTAGAATTAAATTATTATATAATAATAAATAAAGAAACTTTTCTTCTTTTATTCCCTTTTATCGCATAAATTAAATTATTGTTATTTTTCATAATTAGGCTTATAAATTGTTTCCTAATTGGTTATCATTCCATGTCGATTTCTATTCACTTTATTTTGTCCATTTGTTTACTTTTTTATTGCTATAATAATAACAAACAATTAACACGATTTTCCTTTATATAGGTTATTATCCTATATCTAGGAAATATCAACAGAGGTCCAACAAAATATATAAATTCATATTTTCAACTTTTGTGGTACTTATATTTTCCTCTCTAGCTATTACAATAGACTCTGTTTTCTCTCATGTAGTGAATTTCAAGTTCATCCTTGTTTTTTTCTTAAACGTATTTTATATCTTCATTTATCAAGCAACAATATTGGTATATTTTTATATTGCATTGAAAATAGTATTAATATGTAAGGATCTTGAATTTCATGTCAAAATGTCAGATAATCATGATATAAATATTCTTAAAAGACGGTTTTTATATATTAAAGCTATAATTACAAACTTGAACAACTTATTTGGCTTGTTATTAATTAATTATTTGATATTTTTATTAATTATTATAACCAAAATATTATATCTAAATAAATCATATCCCGAATATATTAATATAGATGGGTATATGCTTTTATTCATGTTTTACACGAATTTTTTCACACTCTGTATAATTGGAGAATTTGTGCTGAAATCATCCTCATCTCTGCTTACTGAATTGGCGAAAAGAATAGATAAATCTCAAAATCACACATTACTTATATTATTTTATCTTGAAAATCCAAAGCGGGGGTTTTATTTGACCGGTGGAACAAATATAAACATTTCATTCGATTTGTTTTTTAAGGTTACAGGTCTTTGTCTTACTTATGGAATAACAATGAATACCATTGCTTATAAATCAATGTGACTTTTATCTACTCTTTAAATATATATTTTGTTTATGCCGTTGCTACCTGAAAACCTTTTTCTTTAGAAGATATATATATTTTCATGAAAAAAAATTGAAAAACGTTTTAAAATTTCAAAATATTTTCTCACAATTAGTTTATTTTTATTTCAAAACGCTAGGTTTCAAGCGATAATCGCTCTTCAACGGGCTTAATAAAACATCGACTATATCCTACAAGAAATATTTACAAAAACATACGCGCTCAGCGTGGATATTTACAACTGAAATTTATAAATTGATATTTAATTTAACACTGTTATGGAAAATTAAGAATATAATAATAAACAGGAAGATAGATTTACCATCACACTATCGATATCTCAGAAGAAACCAATAGATCAAATTATAGGTTCTGGATGCCCTAAAAATGTGAATATACATATTTCATTGACAGTCATTGTTAAATTACATATCAATTTAAAATTCCTTGTCAATATCCACGCTGCGAGCTTATGTATTTGTAAATATTCCTTGCAGGATATAGACGTTTTTTCATCAAGCCGGTTGAAGAGCGATTACCGCTTGAAAGCTAGCGTTTTGTAATAAAAAAAGAAACTCATTGTGAGAAAATATTTTGTAATTTCAAATTCATATATATTTACAAATATTTAAGCATATAATGCGCAATC